CGACGCTCTTCAACTTCTCTTTCGACCCGTTCTGTCCAGTCACCGACACATAAGTAGGAAATCATGAACTGGGGTTCTCTGGAAGAGCTCCTTAGCGGAGTTAACAAATACTCCACTGCCTTTGGCCGAGCCTGGCTCTCTATGGTGTTCATCTTCCGGGTCATGGTGTTTGTGGTAGCGGCTCAGCGTGTGTGGGGGGATGAGAGCAAAGACTTTGTCTGCAACACTGAACAGCCAGGCTGTACCAATGTGTGTTACGACCACTTTTTCCCCATCTCACACATCCGTCTCTGGGCCCTGCAGCTCATTTTTGTCACTTGCCCATCGCTCATGGTCACAGGTCATGTCAAATACAGGGAGATGAAGGATTTGAAGTATGCTAAACAACACAAGGGGAAGCACATGTACGCCCACCCTGAAAAGAAACGTGGAGGGCTTTGGTGGACATATTTGGTAAGAATGATGGATTTTTAAGGATTAGTTATTTTTTTTTATTTTGCTTTTAATTTAGGTAAAGTTGTGGTTAAAAGTTCTGGGAAAATATGTAAAATCTCTCATGCACTAAAAGTAACAGTCATATTTTGAATTATCTTTGCCGGTTTTGACTGATATCTATTTCATTTTGCAGCTAAGCCTTATCTTCAAGGCTGGCTTTGATGCTGGCTTCCTCTACGTCCTGTACTACGTCTACGAGGGTTATGACATGCCACGCTTGTCCAAGTGCTCCGTGTTCCCCTGTCCTAATACAGTGGATTGCTACATATCCCGACCCACAGAGAAAAAGATCTTCACCCTCTTCATGGTGGTCTCCTCTGCTGTCTGTATCTTCATGTGTATCTGTGAGATGATCTACCTCATCTTCAAACGTATCGAAAAGTTTACGAAAAAGGTCCAACACAGGTCCTATTCTTCACTCAGAGTGGATCCTACAGCATCAAATCAGAACATCACCAACAATAAAGTGAAAAAAACGCTTTCCAAAGCGGAGGTCTCCAACAAGGAGTCCGAAACCTTTACGTGGTCAAAGGAGGTAAAATCTTCAGTCAGAGTAGATCCTACAGCAACAAATCAGAACATCACCGACAGTGGAGTGGAAGAAAAGTCTACTGTGAAGGTCCTTAACAAGGAGTCCGCGACCTCTAGCTTGCCCTCGGAGGAAAAATCTTCAGTCAGTATGGAT